GAAGCAACATGATTTTTTATATAGCGCCCTCTACAGACATTAATTACTTCTTAAAGAAAAAAAAAACTGCAAGCGAGCATGTGGGGCAGAAAACTCGTAGTTTTTGATGCAGTGTATTCATTGGGGCTAGGGCGAATTGACACAGAGGATCTACTGTCCATTTCCCCATGTTTCTGCAATGTATTAAATGATTGCTTCTTACAGCTTTCAAGGTAAACCAATGCTCTAAAACATTTCAGTTTCCCAAAATCCACTCAACTAATACTATTTGTTATAAATGTAGCAATTCATAAAAATCATATAAAATAATATTTAGTGTATTTATCTTCAAAAATGTTTGAAAACGCTGCCAACTTAATGTACAATCGGAAAGTTAACTGCGAAGTTGCAACTGCAGCTCAGAAACTTGCCAAATGGACAGCAGACCCCAAAGAAAAGAAAGCAAACCACCCAATACTGAGATTTTATTACAAATAAAAAATGTTTACAGTGGCACTTCATGAACAGCATGTTTAACACATGTATACGCACTACTACATTTACTACTGTGGTCGTTTCTTTTGGGGGGAGAGGGGAATTGGAGAGTCAATATAGTCACGTTTTGAAGTGAAACACTGACATATTAAAAAGTCATCAGTTCCATGTATACCATGACCATGTTAAGGCCTTGGCAAACGTTTTAAATGCAGGGTTTTCTTTACCCCTGAAATATCATTTATATGTAAAATGCAGGGCAGTGATGAATGCCATAACAGAATACAGCCTAGAAAGTATTACCAATGGCCCAGTTCGCATGGGCCATCTCATTCTATCTTCAGCGCAACTATGAATCTAACTTATATCATCATGTGTATCATCATGTGTTTCATAATGTGCCACTGTAGACTACATATAGCTCTACATTGTCACTTTATATCTAAACAAAAAAAAAGCTTTTTCAATTATATACCTTTGAAAATAAAAAAATACCAGGCACATGTCTGTATTCATCTCCAAGTTACTGTTCATTTCTTATTGCAGATAAGGGCAAACAGTAATCACACTTGTAAACTATGTTTTCCCATCAATATACATTTCCAATGCTGAGTCTTTTCCAAAAAACTCTATATTTAACTGAAAAATGTCTTCAGTTAACAATAAAGCAGTAATCCAATCCACATTTTATCTTGTAGAAAATATCCAACTTGCTGGAAAGTCCTCTGTTAACGAGTTGACTCGATTAATTGAAGTCACTCCATGCAACTTTAACCAATTGACGCCAGATTATGTGTAAACACAAATTTCCTTATTTGTTCCACGGAGGGCATGTACACTCATTTCAGAATTCTTTTTTTCTTTTCCGCAATTGACGTTTTAATGCATTGTACTTGGTTGGGTCAAAGCACAAGTGCAAGGTTGAGGAATTTACAGGTAAGAAAAACCCCAGTAGCTTTTTCGCATAAGAAAATCTGACATTAAATGGGTGAAACAACTTTCAAATTAAAACCTTCATGAACATGTGCCTGGATTTATTCTTTTTTATAACTTGTATTTTGTTTTTATTGATAAATTTATATGACATTTTCAGTGCCGAGTGAAGTGTTACATAGTTAAAAGCTTCAAGCAACCTTTGGAAAAGATGTGACCTGCTCCATTCAAATCAAAATTTCAAAAAATACAACACTCAGCTCCCCTTTTAACAGGGAAAAGTTTGCTTTTAGTAACTATGATTAACAAATATACTAGCAAAAGATTTGCAGTCATGAAGTCTAAGTAATCTGCAACGCAAATCATAGGTTTAGACACAGTCTGACAAATTTGTGGGCACAATTCATGGTCCAAAGTTTTTTTTGTGACTGTCTTTCAAGAAGCTGTGATTTCTCAACCTATTCCGGATTTCAATGGAGCTGGTCACTTAATTAGCTCTGAGCAAATCCACAGCAACTGATAGAACCTGAAGTCTTGAAATTGTTACATGTGCAAGTTTCATACATGTACGGCTACAGAAGAAAATTTGAATTGCACAAAGTTCTTCCTCAAAGTGCATTTTGATGGGGGGGGATGACGTGGAAGAAAGATTGCTATGGATTTGCTTATTTTGTAATCAGTCTAAGGGAGGCAGACATCGAGTCTTCCCCATCTTGGAGGGTAGAAATTCCTCAAATAATGACATCACAGACTCCCGACATCTACTGGATGACCATTTCAGAACTGCATCATCACCAAGCCTCAGGTTAGAGGTAGCTGATTACAGATCATCTGTTGGAGGAATAAAACAAAAAGCCAGAAGAAATCAGCGTCTTAGACAGAGGTACATTTGTAAAACAAAAATGATTCTCCACTTAATTAACAGCTGATCTTCATCACCCTTTTCACAGCCTAAGTTTGTCAGACTGTATCAAACATCAACCTCTATTGCAGCACTTATCGATACAAATCCTTTTAAAAAGCTTTTTAGTATTTGCGATTACAACTCAAGTGCCCCTTTAGAAATGCAAGAATTGTTTTTTGTCTGATTTAAATCTTTTCAAAGCCACAGCAGATAAATCCCCTCATGATACTTTCCTACTCTTTTTAGCTTACTCTTGGTGACTGAGCAACCTACGAGGCAGTGATAGCACGGCTCCTGAGCTTCCTCGTCACAAAAAAGGAACACATATCTCTATTTCCATTTCTACACCTAATTCTTGTACTCATATCTTTCTCAAAATGAAACTTTTTCTCCTTCATGAAACTGTCAGCCAAATGACGTTTGTGAAAAAAGTGTTAAAGTCAGCTGTTAGGGATCAGTCTGTTTCCCGTGAAAATAAAACAGCAGTGGTATCAATAAATGGGAAAAATGTTTGGTTGAGAATCAAGTCCAATTTGCATTTTATCACTACAGGGAGTAGTGATAAACTACATGTAACATGGCCAGACACTGCAGCAACGCAGCAAAGACATACTCGTTGGTCACTGTCATTTACCATACTTTCTCTCATCACCCTGGAAGTAGAAGTTGATCTAAGCTGGCGGCTTTTCTTTACATCTGTTTTCTTTCGAAATTGTCCCACTGCATGTTGATTTTCTGTTTTGACTACCAACACAGAAGGAAGCTTTTGGGTTTTAATTATGTCTCTACATGTATATCATCCTTAAAACAATGTAATTAGGCATGCAACCACAGGTTTTTGCAGGAAAACATTCAGAGAGCTCAGGCCCGTTGGCTGGGGGGGGGGTTCAGGGGTTTGAACGATCCTCCCACGTGCTTCCGAGTTCCGTTCATTTTTTTTTTTAATATATATTTTTCAGATACACTGTACTATAAATTTTGGAATATAAGTCGTGGCTTATACAGGTTTGTTGATTCTCAAGCTGATAATGTCTCTGCGGCTTATACAGCAATAATTGAAAATAAAAATCAGTCACTAATTGCTGTGCTGTGCCTCATGCGGTGCAGCCAGTCGTGGTTGGCCAGCAATGTGTGCAAGCAGCGCGGCACCCTGGGTGCAGGGACCAAGGCAGTCACGTTTTCATTGGTTTTTGTTTACACTGTCTCTACTTACGCGTTGACAATACAGGAAACCAGTCTACAGGGACAAAAAAGACTTGTAAATGTACCATAAATTACCGTTCACACCTCACAAATCGTGTGGTGCATCTGTTCGTTTTTGTCTTTTACGGTTTTGCAATCCATGTTGTTTATTATTTCCCTAGTGGACAGTCAACTCTCAGGAATACTAGCTCAGGTAAGACGAGACTCCGGTTTAGACGAGCATATTTGCCAGTCCTGACTGAATTGTGTACATTCCTATGAGGGGAAAAATGTGTAATACGAGCTCGGATGTTATGAGATTTCAGTTAAGACAAGCATTTTTTGCGTGCTGGACGAGTGCAAATCTATTGTTATCTGTCTAGTTAGCACAAGCTTTTTTGACAGCAACTTGTCAATCAGCCAGTCCATTCAATTTTGAAAGGCGCGTCCGTAATTTATGTGGGTACAGGAGAACAGCGCTGCAGTTTTCCCTCACTGAATCGAGCCATTTGTGTCCGGTGCTGCAAGAGAGACAAACAATTGGCATTTGTGGTTCACGTACCCAATGTAGAAATTCTGTGAGGCAGATCTCGTACTACCTGAACACAAGCAAGTGCCAAAAGTGCTATGGTATTTAGGACAGTGGTGAACAAAAGGTTTTTTGTTTGATTCCCCCGCCCCAAAACAATTCGCCAAGACCAAAGTCCCACCAGGAAACTAATAAAAGATGTGTTCTGTAACCAAACACCTGGCCCAAATACTGCCCACCGTCCGCCTAAAAAACCGTTACCTGCTCCCCACCATAATATGAAAAATTCACCCCTTCCGATTTTGGCATTTCTATAATTTCTCAATTTAAGAAAATCATGACTAAAGCTGTGGTTTTCAGTCCAAAAATGTTTAAGAAAATAACAACCACAAGTTTTAAAGAAAACAGTGTATCCCTCGCTCATGAATTTTCACCAAACCCACATGCCTTTCCGAAGTAAACACCGATATTCACCCTCTGTTGTCCACACCACCAACAGACGGTTTCCTCACATTTTTATGTGCTACAAGCACAGCTCTGGTTTTGGTTACCAACTAAAATGGTGGATTTGATCATGGCATGTGGGGCCGGGTCGCTCCGAATCGACACGACTGGTGGAAATTCCACTTCCTCCGTTCTTACGTTTTGTAATTATTCTTTACTACAAGTGTAGCAAAGCCTTTGAGTTCTTGTCCTGAACTCAAAGTCTGACAGCAAAAAAAAAAAAAAAATACAACTCGGAAGCAGGATTTCACTTCAACCAAAAAGTTCTACAGCTGTTTTTATTCCATGACAACAAACACGATCTAACTACATCGCTGTCAAAAACAACAACTACATGTACTGTCCATGTCTGCTTTTCCCAGCGTAGACATACACACAAGAGAAAAGTGTATATCATGTAACAACTTTACGCGCCCCTGGAATAACGCCAAGTCTAGTCTGCGCAATTGAACAATAGAATCCCACTGAAGTACTCTATTTATAGAAGCCTATTTTTGGAGCGTTGGCGCGTGCTGGCCCAGCAAGACAAAGAACCAGGTCAACACACTTGTGACCAACTGCTCCGACGACACTCCACCAGCGGATAAACAACACAACGTTATACACCGTTACACAAGTCTTTATTCATTAAACTGTATCTCACTTGCCTAAACAATCTTTTTAAAATCAAATTCATGTAACGAAACGATACTATGTGCCTTTAAACAAAAAGTTATGCACACTTGTAGTTGTACACATGTACGCTTTATGTACGGTCGATTGGTGACACATACATCAAGCAGGACGGCAGCTAATTTAATAAGTCCCAAGGAACTTGTATTAACAAGAGTCGACTTGACTGGTTTTTTTTAAAGGAACTGCTGCTTGGTCCAACCAACAACACTAACCCAGCCTGCCAAAAAAATGGTTATTTCGAGGACCCAAGAAAGTTTAGGTTTAATGACAACACTCATGCGCGCGCTGCTTGCACTTGAAGATTGCCCGAAAGTGGCACGGACTCCAAAGTTGGGTACGTTGAATTTTTGCTTCTGATGTTTGTGTATGGAGCAATATTTTACCTCCAATTTCACAAAAGGTGAAATTTATTCAAACTTCAAATATTCTAATTTATAAATGTTGATTACATATACCCGATACAAAATTCTGACGAAATTTAATTTGGCCTGATTTTTCCATTTTTCTTTTCGAAGTGCAAAATGAACTAGGCCCTATTTTAAATGTGAATTTTGGACAAACCTTCATGACATTGAATTGTTAACGAAGGTTCACAAGTCTGTATTATGAAGGCAATAGTATCACCATTTAACCAAGTGGATTTGAAGTTTTGAACAAAGAGGTTCGGCGGCACTATATGAAGAAAGTCAAGAGAATGTCGAAGTAAGCCACATAATACTCTACTAGTCGTGTACTAGTGCTTCAACAGATGAGATTTCGCGGTGCAGCTTAAACTCTGACTAAATGTTAATTTACAGATTTTTTTTGCTTGCCGTGGCTTATACTCTGCGCAGCCTATAGTCCAAAAATTACAGAGATCATGTTCATACCATTCACTCTTCATCCAGCACCCGATTCAGGGTGCTGGGTGAAGAGTGAATTCATATCAGGCCAATTTACAGCACGTTGTGAATATTGAAAACTGAAGCATACAAGTCTTACATGCATCCTTTGGTTCACAACCAATTGTTCCAAAGCACATTATGATAGGCTGTTGTATAAAATATGTGCTAAAAGTTTTACTTCGGGATTTGACAACCCCCTCTCTCTGGTCAGGCAATGGGCCTGGTGCTTTTGCTGTCGATCAGTACATCAGAGAAATATAAACTTGCATAGCATATTTAGATTTGTTCAAGGATGAAGTGTCAGGGCCAGTCTTAAATGCTAAAAAAGATTCTAAAGGATTCCTAAATGAGTCTGAATATCAGAGATGCTTACAAATAAGAACCTGTTGTGGTCTGCATGAAAAGAAGGCATGAAAATTAAGAAAAGTATCAGCAAGCCACAATCAAGAAACAGAGGTAGATAGATTCAAGGTAGTTATACACAAAATGAAATCAAACAGTGTGTGTGTGTGTGAGTTTGTTTCTGCATTCAATTGGGGACCTTGAACAATAGAGGACAATAAGGTCCCCATTGACAGAGGGTCCCCGATTGACAACTGTGTACAAAACAGAAGGGTGGTCTTGTAAAAAAGTTAAAGTAGAAACAAAGGAGGAACAATAGGGGGTCCCCAGTTGCAGGCAAATACGCACTTGGGTGTATGTGTAACTGACCAAACATTTGATGTATCGGCATACTTCAGGAAGGCAGTCTACTTGGAAGCTGAACCTATTGTGGCAGCTAAGTTTTCTTACAACATGGAAACTATTAGGTGACTTTAACACAACCTGTGGATTCAAAAAGGTGGCCTATTTGGAAAGCTAGGACTTGCCAATGCAAAAAAAGTTTTGACTTTTCACGTTTTTGCACAGTTAATTGACCATAAATATTTAACAGCTGACCCAACAGTCCAAGGACAAATCCTTCCATTATGGAGTGCAATACAGCAATCAGCTATTTGCAGATTCAGAGAGATGAAGGCTGCATCGTTTTCATATCTGTTGATATTTAGAAATATCTTGTTTTAACTACTGACACTTCTAGCTGGCAAAACTGAGAACTGGACTAAGTTGGCAGTACATCATTCTAAAAGAAAAACCTAATGAGATTTTTACA